GAAATGGATCAACAATTACGTCAGTTTTATTATTTTTTTTTTCTTTTCCATTTATTTTATTTTATTTTTTGATTTTATAATTTTGATAAAATAGGTACTCGTGATGGAGCTATTCCAGATGATATACGTACTGGTGAAACAATAGCTCGAACGAGTGAAGTTATAGCTGCACAAAAGTTACCTGTTTCACTTGTTGTTACTGGCGATGATTTAAGTAAGACTTTTTTGATATGTTTGTTTTTTTTCAGAAATGATTTATTTTGCATATATTTATATGTATCTCTAAGATAATATTCTTCGATATAAAGCAAAAGAATTTATGCAAGTTGCATCACAATGTCAATCAATAATATTTTGTCGAGTATCAGCAACACAAAAACGTGAACTTGTATCTGCTGCTAAATCAGTATTTAAACATCGAATATTAGCAATAGGTGATGGGGCAAATGATGTTGGAATGATTCGTGAATCTCATTGTGGTGTTGCTGTTTATGGTCGTGAAGGATCACAAGCAGTAGCTGCTGGTGATTTTGCTGTTGATCGTTTTGAATGTCTCCGTCGTCTTTTACTTGTTCATGGTGCTTGGTGTTTTACTCGAACAAGTGAACTAATTCTATATACATTTATGCATAATTGTTCTTATGTCTTTGTTATATTTTATCATCAATTATTTAATGGATTTTCTGGTGCTGCTACACTTCATTCATTATGTAAGTTACTTTTCATCCTACAAAGGAAAAAGGTACATACTAAAAGAGGTTTCAGAGACGGATATTCTACTATCAATAAATGTATTGGGATTCGTTTCTGTTTTTTGTAGACATTCTTCTATACTCAAGTTTATTTACTGTACTTCCACAAGTAATTATAGAAAATATTTTGTTTGTGTTCTTTTTGACTGAAAGTATTTAGTGTGCTGCTGCTCTATTCGATCAACATGTTCCAGCTAAACGAGCATTACATGAACCTCAATTATATAAATATACACTTCATGCTAGATGTTATCGAATGTGGTCCTACTGGATAAATATTATTGATGCCATTTGGCAAAGTACAGTCATTTTTTTTATTGCTTATTATGCATATGCAAATAATGGAAATATTGATGCATCAGTATTTGGTTTTTCAATTGCATTTAGTATGACAATAACTTCAATGATACATGTCATCTTACAAACAACACGTATTGATATAGCATTGATAAGTTCGATATTATTAAGTTTTTTGGTATTTCTTGGTTTTACATTAATATTTGATGCAACTTGTGTTGTATGTCTTAATGGACAAAGTCCATATTATATATCTTATGTGGCATTTCGTCAAGGTATATTTTGGTTAACAAATTTGTTTACTATAATAATAGCTCTGTTACCACGTTTTTTTATTAAATGTATTTATAATTCAACAATGAATCCATTATCACGAACTAATCAGCAACATAATATTTCATCTTTAACACAAGATACTCATGTATGATTTAAAAAAGAAAAAGATCTTGAAGATCATTAGAATATTCATTTGAATTGTTGACATATGTAAAAATGAAAGTTGGTAACAATTGATGATATGTTGTGTATTTCTCATCCGGTGATATACAAAACAATAGAAATTTATAAAAATTGAAACTAGTCAAATAGAAACGTGTATATATGAAAAAAGAAATCATAAAAGTGAATGGAAAATTTGTTGTTGTTTTTTTGTCTGCCTGTGATTTATTTTTACGCCTTATCTGTCTAATTGTTTTAAGCTTACAATTATCATAAAATCTGTTTGTTTTCGTGCTTTTATTGATTGTTATTTTTTATGTTTGTCTCTAGGACAAGTTTTCTGTTTTTGTTTTATTTGATATGTGAAAAACAATCATAGAACATCTGTCGAGTTTTTGTAGGTAAATCTATAAAATAAATATAATGTGATACTTTGTTATCTATTTTACATGTTGAACAAAAAGAATTTAATTGTTAGCAAAAGAAAATGCACAGAATCAAAAAGAGCGCTTGTAGGTAAATGTTTTGGTTTAAAAAAAAAGCACAAAATTACATGATTACAGTCAAAATTTCATAGTTAGTAGTCATGTTAATCAGCACAAAGCTTACGAATATTAATTTTTAAAACATTTCTGACATTTGAGTAGTTCTTTTACAGATGAACATACTTTCTTAATATCAGAAGAAAAAAAACCGCTGACAAGTATTCTTTTGTCAAAGTTAGAGATACTTACTTTGCAAGCTTTTATGATAATTGAATATAAAACAAAAGAAAGATTTTTGTTTTGAATAGTGTAACGTGTCACAACTAATCAAAAATACTACCAGTAGGTGAATATGGTTTAATATACTAACGAGGAAACCATCTCAACTTGAAAGTCGCTTTTGAGTTCAGACTTCGTGTATGAAATACATCCCAGGAGGATAAGAGCTTCTAGGCCTTCCCTACAGACTTCTAACTGTTTTGTTGAAATTTTAGCCTATAGCATGGTTTATACAAAAGAATTGAATGATGATATTTTCACCTGCCATACCACTCATAGTTAGTCCTACTTGTAATTAGAATGTCCTGGAAATTTGAGTCCCAAAGAATTTTCCTTTCAAGAGATAAGGAATTTCTAAAAATCACTGATGTTCCCTATGGAAGATTCGAGAATCTGATGTTTTTTAGGAATTTAATATCGTGTGAAGGAAACATTATTTTGAGCTGAAAGTTTTGAAAATATTCTAATTACAAGTAGGATCATATACGAATGAAATTTCAAGGCAAAATATCATCATTTAATGCTTTTGTAAATACTGTGCTACAAGCAAAAATTTCAGTAAAACGGCTATAACTCTGTAGGAAAGATCGAGGGATCCTTTATTTTTTGAATTTTTCAATACTTTATTTGGGTCTACTTTATGCACTTATTTCGAAATCAAAAGCAATTTTCAAATTCGAATGATTATCTCGTAAATTATATTACTTCGTTTACAGAAGAAAATCTTTTGTTTTTTAAATTAGTTTTCTAATCTTCAATTGCCTTGATTCTTTTGTACTACACGTAGAAGTATTAATTGTTATGTACTGTAGAAATGAAGATATATGTGTGTCATCAAGGTCGCCTATTAATCCAGAATGTAAAGGAAACAAAATTATGATTAATTGATTGATTGTCAATGGTATAAGACAACGTATTTGAAGAAGGTTATTGAGTATTAAGTGATTAAGCAATTGAAAATTATGCATTATCTATTGGTGGTTGTAGATTCAAATAGAAATATGATTGCATTCTTTATAATCAAAATTCATTCAAATAATAATCTTAATAATTTTAATGCGAGACAGGAATCAATCGTCAAGACTGACATATGCAAATATTAAAAAATATTTTGAAAATAAAAATCATGATACAATTATCTGATTCTATGATATGGTGAAATTTTCTTATTTTGCACTTTGTACCTTCTTCAATAATATAGAAAAGAAAAAGGAAAAAAGAAACTATTTCTTTTTTGAAATACAACACCAGATGAAGTAATTACTAGTGTTGCCACACATCCACATAAAACATATTAATGATGAAATTATTATTCATCATTTTTAAAATTGTTTTATTTTTTGTATAATAATTATGTGATCTTTTATTCTTAATTCTCTCAGATAGAAATAGGATTTCTAAATGAACACAAATCTTACAGGCAGTATCATAGAATCGATTTTTCCTGGAATACGTCGCTATTGTTTTCACGTTAAACTTTCCCTAGACGATTAATTATAGGGATGTACTTCCAATATTCAGTGTATATAAACATGACTGTCTTAGAAATGATTTTGTCCTTTAAGTAGGTACGCACAATGTTTACCTATTCATATCAAAATAAAAAAATTTACTCTAAAATGTTGCTAACATATGAAACACATATTCATCATAAGACTTTATGGAACGATAAGCAAATGTATTTTCACTTTTTAACTCATAAGTACATTGAAGTATAATTGAAAGTGCTTTTTTTCAGGTAGAGATACTTGAACAAATGAAAAAATTCACGATATTCCTTCTCTTTCAATTCTGCTAGGGTTTACCTTTTTTTTTCTTTTTTTATTCTGTCATACTCATTGTTATTGACACGGTTACACGTTTCTAACATTTTTCCTCTTATTTTAATGGCATAAACACCTGCTCGAGAACGTTCGTGCTGTTAATATTATTCTCGTAAGTATAATTTACAAGTATGTTTTTTTTTAAATAGAGTTTCTTTTTGTATTTTGTCATGAATATTTTTATTTCTACGACTCTTCGATTTCTGCAGGTTTTTTCTTCAGTGTGAACAAGTATACGTTAGATGTAACCATAACAGGATTTTCTTTGCTTTCACAATAAATGTTAAATGTCTATTGTTTTTTTTTCTCATTATTAATCGGGCATGATTTTATTTTGATAAGAAAAATTCGTAGAACGTAAATCATCTTTTTTCAGTCAGTTTTACAATTTCGTCCTTTTTTTTTTCTTTTTTATCTTGTCATAAACAACTAATAAATAACAATCAATAACTATTTGAATATCATAGGTTTTTAAAATACTTATTTGAAAATGCAGAAATACAGTACTGATATGTTATCATGTTGTAAATACGATAATCGCCGAAAAGAACACAAAAGCTGTAATTCAGCCATAGGCATTCTTGGTAGGATGAAACAAAATATTTGTATTCAAAACAAAGAGTTATGTACAGTATGACACAAAAAAAAGGAAGTATTGGTATTTTTTTAAATGCTATTATGACAAACCTACATAGGGAAAGTCAATGTTTTCTTTTGACCATCAAATGATGGTTGAATGTGTATTTATTGATGAGCGAAATAAAAAAAAAATTGACTTTGAAGTTAGACAATATAAGAAGGTGAATACGTATCGATTTTAATTTGTATGCATGAAAACGATTCATTAACATGTGTACAAGGAGACAACCTATAAAAAGAAGGTCATTTAGAAACGTTTTCAACGATAATGCAAAAATAATTTGTTATTTTCATTTTTTTTTTGTTACATATTCAAGTATACTTATAGATGAAACGATACGGCTTACATGTTTGTGAACCAAGAGAATTAATAAAAGAGAAAATCGTTAAATGTCTGTGTTCTCATTTTAAATTACAGAAGTTCATGTACAGGAGTAGCTTTTACAAGAATGAGTATTTAATATAAAATGACATTGGATTATATGTCCTTTCATTTCTTTTTTGTCAAGGTGGATTGCTTCACTTAGTTGAAATTAAGGAGTCTAAAAGAATATCTTCAAATAAAATTTTTTTTACATTTATTTTAGATTTTTTTTCCTTCTTTTTGTCGTTCGTGTACTTAATAATCAAAAGAAAGCAAAAAAATTCAGCCGTGTTTGTTATCGATCATAATCAGCGAGACTGCCATGAAGAACAACGTAAAAAAAAATGTAAAATAACAAGAAAAGGTGTATTCTGAACAGGTGAGTACGTCATACAATATTCCATTCGCCTAATCAAAAATACTAAACTCAGATAAGAACAAAACGAATATTTAAATGCAGGATTACATTCACTTTAAAAAAGTTCTCTATGTTTCATGTGCTGAGTATTATTTGCCTCTTTTTTTGTGCGATTTAATAGAATATATTTAACCGAAGAAAGCCATATTAGACTTGTTTTCAAGATACTTCAATTGATCAAAAAAATATTGACTTTTTACAATTCTATTGTTTTGTTGAAAGCAGCGGTCGGTCCGTTTTTTTTTCTACGTTGATTTATATCTTTGACAAATGCGTATCGTAACAACCGTGACATAGCAATTTTTCTTTTCTTTTCTTTACTGAAATGATTCCTTGAGTAGATATTTGATTATGCCGATATCATGAAATTCTAACAGAAAAGTAAAAAAAGAAAAAGCAAAACAAATCAACTGAAGGTAAAGAAAAAAGTTTTCAAGTTATAATTTTTACGTATGATTAATGCACGAGTATTTCTTTTTGCCTGAAAACAAGTTTGGGTTTCTTTTTGCTTTTATAGACATTTTGCTCGGATTTTAAGTATGTTTTTGTAAAACCTTTTTGTTTAGAACAGATTGATTAAGTAAATAGAATAGAATTTTCGTGATGATATATAATTAACTAGTGTGCACATATTACATGCCACATTTGCTAACCCAATATATATATATTTGTGGATATTCGATCATTGATATTGGTTTTTTTCTTCTAGTTGAATTAAAAAAAAACAAAATTGGTTTTTTCTATTTTATTTTTTATTCATCATTCTAAATGGGTAGTTGCGTTGCTGTACCAACATTTCGTCGAACTTATCATGTCGCAAAAAAACATAATGAGAATAATATACAACGTTCAACCGTCGAACGTGAAACTTATAAAGTTTATTACAATTCCTCGTCAGATGCTGAATCATCTGCATGGAGCGCAATAAAAAAACGACGAATACATACACCAAAAACAAATCGTATTAAAACAACACGTTATAATATTATTACATTTCTACCGAAAAATCTTTTTGAACAATTTCATCGTGTAGCTAATGTATATTTTGCTATTTTAATTGGTCTCAATTGGGTACCGATTATCAATGCTATTTCGAAAACGGTAAATATTCGTTTCGTTGTTTTCAAAGATAATGATAAATAATATCTTATTCAAATATTTTCTTTTAGGTCGCTTTTATACCATTGACAGTTATTTTAACAATAACAGCTATCAAAGATCTTGTCGAAGATTTAAAACGATGGCGAAGTGATGCAAGAATAAATAAACAAATAGCTGAAGTTTATAATAAGTAAAGTTCTACTAAAGTTTAGTTTTTTTCTTGATGTATATTATGAATCGTTTTGTTTTTCTCTAATAGAACATCGAAAAAATTTGTTCAATGTAGATGGGAAGATTTAAGTGTTGGAAGTATAGTTCGAGTACGAACAAATCAAATAGTACCAGCTGATATTCTATTACTTTCTTCAACATCTTGTGAAAGTACATGTTATTTAGATACAGCTGCTATTGATGGTGAAACCAATCTTAAACAAAAAAGTATTCCATCTTGTCTTTTAAATTATTCTAAACCTGAAGAAACAACTTTTGAATTACAATGTGATCCGCCAAATGACGATATTTATCATTTTTGTGGTCGAATTCTTTTATCAACAAGTTCACATGTTCATTCATGTGATAATAATAATTTTCTTTTACGTGGATGTGTATTAAGAATTACAGATTATGTTGATGGACTTATTGTTTATGCTGGTAAAGTTGTCTTTTTTTGTTACTGAACATTTCTATTTTATTTAGTTAAATTTATTTTCTAAATATAAAAATAGGTAATGAAACAAAAATCATTAAATCATCTCGTCATACAATAAGTAAACATGCACTGATTGAAAGATATATTAATCGTGATGTACTTTGCTCGAGTTTAATATTAACTTTCTTATGTTTACTTGGTGCTGGTTTATCTATTCATTGGGAACGTTCATATGGTGATCGTTGGATGTTTGTTCCGTTTATATTAGATGATCCCTTTAAAAATGTTGTTGGCCGCTTTTTTGCAGCTGGTTTACGTTTTATAATATTATTTCAAGTAATGGTTCCAATAGCGTTATATGTTTCATTAGATCTTGTTCGTGTTTTACAAATGTATACAATAGGACGAGATAAACATTTAAAATATGAACATCCAATTAGTTGTCGAACATTTACAATAAATGAAGATCTTGGTCAAATAGGTTATGTATTTTCAGATAAAACAGGAACATTGACACAGAACAAACTAGTATTCAAAGCAATGTCAATTGGTGGTGTAAAATATTCAGATCGGTATGAATTTATTTTAAATTCAGCAATTTTTCTCTATGTCAAACTAATTGATATGATAGTTTGTGCTAAATACTTAGATCGATAGATCTTGTTTTCTCATAGATTCTATTGAAGCTGTACCAACATAAATTGAATCATTTTATTCAGAAAAAATGATATGGCACTATATATCGAAAGAATGTCATGAAGCGAGAGATACAATGGCACAAATTCTCTTACAAAAGAATTTCTCTTAAGAGAAGCTTTTTTCTTAAAATAGTGTATCATTGAAGGAACCCATCTTACTCTATTGGTATTTCCAACTCCGATAGCCTCATGTCTACTTATTCGCATAGGCAAGATATGAATATGTCATATACTCTATCTAAGATAATTTCTACAATGAGATATTCTAACTGTCTATATTCAATGTGTTCATATTAGTATAAACATTGAAAATTCTGAAGCCTCAATAATACGAGTACAAGCAATTGCATCTACTGTTCTTTAGTAGGCACGTCTATTGTCATTTAATTTATCACTTAAGTCTTACAAAGTCTTAAAATTAATTTTAGCTACCAATTATAAAATTCAATCGAAATTTCTCATATCCATTAAATATTATGCGTTGCCATTGTCGTGCGCTAACTTCTAGAAAAGAAGAAAATATCAAATAGTACATTTTTGCTGATTTCAACTCTTCCAAATGCATCCATAACCGGAACTGAATCTGGATCAAATCAGATTGGTTCTATATGAATAAAATTTTATTTTAACTAAGTAGTTCATTGCTAAATGGATTGCATACCAGCTCCGTTGAGTGCAGTTGTTAGCAGAGATGAAGTGAAGACGCACACCCAAAATACTTGCCAATCAGCAAAAATTTCCGTCGAAAGATTCTCATCATCTTAAGTCTCCATGCATGTTTTATTTTCATTTTAGTTCTGAATTGCCAACAGAAAATTCTGAATTAATTCAACGTTTTCTAACAGCACTTGCAATATGTAACACATCATTTATTGTTCATGATCATCAAGAATTTATGCGTCAAAGTGATTATCAACCAAAATATGAAGGTGATAATGCTGATGATCTTGTACTTTGTCAAACAGCATCTAATTTTGGTGTTAGAATGATTTCACGTTCTGCACAAAATATTATTGTTCGTTATATTAAAGAAAAACAAGATATCGAATATGAAATATTATGTTTATTACCATTTGATTCAACAAGAAAAAGAATGTCAATTATTGTTCGATTAAATGATCAAATATTTTTATTTATTAAAGGTGCTGAAACATCATTATGGCCACATTTAAGTAATCTTAATGAAGTAGATATGAAAACAATAATTGAACAACATAGTTTAAGTTTTGCTGAACAAGGATATCGATCATTATTAGTTGCATATAGACAATTAACATTAAGAGAATTTGAAGATTGGTTTCAAAGATATCAATATGCAGCTAATTCACTTGAAAATCGTGATGAAGCTATATCTGATGTTGCCACAGAAATTGAAGTTGATTTAATGTTAGCTGGTTTAACAGCTGTTGAAGATAAATTACAAGATGGTGTACCAAGAGCTATTGCAACATTAAGATGTGCTGGTATTAAAATATGGCTTTTAACTGGTGATAAACAAGCAACAGCACTAAGTACTGCACAAGCTGCATCATTAGTTAATATTTCTCAAACATCAACATCAGGAAATACTTCTATGACTAATGTTAATTTGAAGAAACTTTTTTCTTTTCATATAATGTTTTGATTATTTCTAGAATAATGCACCAGCAACAACTACATGGGATTTTAGTGCATCAGCACAAGCACAATTAAATCAATATACTCATATGATTTATTATAGTTCACAATTAATTGAAATGGATCAACAATTACGTCAGTTTTATTATTT